ATATAAAAATCAAAGAAAAAAAATTTTTCTCAAATTTTGAATTTTCGTTACCTTAGATGTTAATGGTTTTTTCCTTTTCAGTGGGTTTTTTTCTGTTCTTTTGCTTGTCACAGAATGCTGCATGCATGTCTTTTTGCACATCTCATTTTCAGTGGGTTTTTCTGTCCTTCCATTTGCAAGCAGAATGAAGAGAGAGAAAGTGAGAAAAATAAATTTGTAGGCTCGTGAATGATTACTCACCTTTCTTTTTTATTATGCAAGTGAATGTAATAATCGGACATGCGTGATTGATAGGAAAAGAAATGAATATATTTAAGCCTGAAAGTACAGCATTAATGCAAATCGTTTCATAATATAGCATCAATATTAATACGATGAGTACTGACACGTGCTTGTAGGGATATCAAAGGGATAGATAAAAGAATAAACGCAAAGTATCATGAGGAGAGAAAAAGAGAACTATACTGATAAGGAACAACAGAGAAAAAAGAGTAATAACAGACCGAGAGATAAAAATAAAAAGAAAAACAGAAGAAAAAGAAAGAAAAAAACAATTGGAAACGATGTATAACATTTGTGCTCTTTTTTTGTAATATCAATTCGCTTCAATAAAAGACATCCACCTTAGAAGAAACGATTCGTATCGATCTATCAATTATCACACACGATGTCCGCGAAAAAAATGATCGAGATGATCGTGTTTTTCTTTTGTGAAAGTCTTCTCAAATGAACATTGTCATTATAGAAAAGTGAAGACCCAAGATCAGTCATATGCATGACTTTTATTCTTCTCTTAATATATTTTTTAATGTAAAACTCTAAGGAGTGTTCAGCAGTGATACTGTAAAGATTCTGTACAGAGACAATGGGACAGCAATACACGACCTCCATACCCACAAGGATTGTTGCTGCAATATAACGGGTGGGGCAAAAGTTTTGCATTAATTTTGTTTTTGATATAACTCTACAACGCAATGTCGTAGAGACTTGAATTTTTTTTGTTAGAAAGAGCAAAGTGTCTAGTGCAAGAATATATAAAAGGATTTGATTGGAAATGTTTTCCGAAGACCACAACAATCTTAGAACAGAAGGCGTTGGGAAACTCTTCCGCAACTTTTTTGAACTTAGAAAAAAACTCCTATAATTGGACAGGTTATCTTTTTTGTTCGTCTAATCCAGATTTTATAATGTAAGGATAGAGCACTATTGCGTTACAAAAAAAGAAATTTTCTACATGTTTTATAACGGTCGAAATGAATGCTTTTATGATATCGTCTGTGTCATCAATTTTTCATCAATGCTGGTAGCAGTCGAAAAAATAAACTCCATTTCGCAGGAGAGGTTGCTAGAAACTATATATTTTATATGAAAAAGAAAGTTTGTTGAGTCCTCTACCAAACGATATTATTTGGAATAGGACGCAACTTCTCTGTGAGATATTCAGAAAAAAAACTTATTTTCACGCTGCAAAACCAAATTCGAATAATTAATTTGTTTTTATCAAAGTGTCTTTTGTTCATTCTCTTTTATGTTATACCAATTATTTTAATACCAAATGAAAACCTTCGTTGTAATGAACAACTGTATATATATGGTGCTCGAAAGTGTCGAAAGTGGCTAATGAAAAAGGCTCAAACAAATATTTTTGGATTGAAAAAATGTGACCAAAGTTGCGGAAGAGTTTTTCGGAGCCTTGTCTTCTAAAACTATTGTGGCCTTCGAAAAACATTACAAATCAAATTCTTTTATATATTTTTGCACTAGACACTTTGCTCTTTCTAACAAAAAAAAATCAAGTCTCTACGATATTGCGTTGCAGAGTTATATCAAAAACAAAATTCATGCAAAACCTTTGCCCCACCCGTTATGTTCTTGAGTTTCTGGAAGAAGGTGGAAAGGCGGGAATAACCAAGCAAAATGGGCGAAGGTGTATGCAGAAAACATTGATGAAGGACCTTAAAGGATATATTACGTCCTGATTTCAACCAGTTCAATTTTTTTAGGAATCTGTGGATATTTCATATACACTTTTCGACTGTCGGTTTCAAGGATAGTCTGTCAGTCCGTGTAAACCCTAGATATTTAAATTCTTTAACCAATACGATATTTTCTCCGTTCATTGTTACTTTCACAGCTGGTCTTTTTACTTGCGTTTCAAATACCTGTATCACTGTTTTTGACACATTTATCGGTTGTTTCCATTTTTCAGAGTACGCATATACGTGATTGCAGATTCGCGTACTTTCATTCTCCAAACATTGAATCATCGAAGCTGTATCAGATCGTCGTGAAACACAATGAACAGACACAGGCTGAGACTACTGCCCTATGAAAGTTCTATGTTTATATCAAAAACTTTCGATGTTCTTTCTCCAAATTCTACATATGCTTTTCTATCTTTTAACCAGTTTTCAATCATTTTCAGTAGGTCGAGCGGTATACCCATTCTCCCTAGTTCATAAAAGAAGGCGGCATGCCATACACGGCCATATGCCTTCTGATAATCAACATAGAGAGTAAGTGTTGGTAAATTGGCAACCATATTGTTTTTCACTTCTTGATAAATCGATAGTGCTCGCGTGGCTAGAAGACGTTTTGGGCGGAATTGAGATTGCTCTAGAGGTACTAAGCGATTACTTTCAGCCTAGTGTCTAATTCTATGTAGGAGTGTTTTTTTCAAACAGCTTTGAATGTGTGGCGAACAAGGAGATTGAACGAATTTGATCGCGGGTGTGGGTGTGGGGTGTGGGTGGGTGTGGGTGTAGGTGTGGGTGTGGGAGTGCGTTAAAAGAAGAACTACACCCACACCCACACCCACACCCACACCCACACCCACACCCACACCCACACCCACACCCACACCCACACCCACACCTACACCCACACCCACACACACACCCACACCCACACACCCACACGCACACCCATACCCACACGCACACCCAGGGGTGGCGCGACCCTTCAAACTTTGGGGGGGGGGGGGTGTACAAAAATTTTTCACTTTAGGTAGTATGTTTAAAATAAAACAGATTTCTAATCCGTCCCCCCTTCTTCTATATATTTCTCTTCATATTCAAATACAGTTCGACTAAGGGCACTCCGCTCCTTTCAGGGGTCACTGAAGAACGTTTCGTCAGAAAACTTTAAAAATTCTCAGAGCAGATAGATTTCGGTTAGTAGAGCAAACTTCATGCTAGACTCAACATCGCCAAGGCTTTCTTCTGTTGGACATAGGGTCACAAGTAGTTGGGTATCTGCCGTCAAAACATGTGGGAAAAGGCAATGTGTTCCCCACAGATGTAAAAATGAGTTTTCCGTCACTCTTACTCCAGCCAACTTTTTCGCAAAATATCGCGCAGCGGAAAAATTTTTTACTCGATTGAAACCTTCGCTTTTGTGACGACACGATGGACATATTAGACCTATCAATTCAGTATCGGTAACTGCAGAACATACCGCCGAAGGCGGCAGCTTTGCGAAACAGTATTTCAAAGTTTGATCGGAAAAATTTAGAAATCAATCAGATGAAAACTCGTTTTTTAGAGTGAACACAACAAAAATGTCTTCTTTTTTATGTTGAGCCACCAAAAGCGGCAATACTCCACCCTTTTCCTTTAAAAGATAATTGATTTGAACGAAAAACAAGCCTTCCTATTGTTTGATGTCACGTCTTAAACGAAAATACACATCATTTTGGAAGCCAAAAATAGTAATCTAATTGAAAAAATATTGGAAAAACTTGATTCGCGAAGCGAAAATTTTCCAAAAGTCCAAGAAAATTGTATCTATGAAAACGATTTTTTGAGAAATTACCTTGAACAGTCTTTATCTAACCGTTGATGGGTCACCTCCTATCATTGCTTCTGCAGATAGGGGTGTCCTTCCTCTTTCTACATCCCTGTATTTTTATCTATGAACCTGTTAACTGGTCAAAAAACGAAAAATTTTCAATTATTGGGGGAGTGTCACACCCCCGACGCCCCCCGGTCGCGCCACCCCTGCCCACACCCACACCCATTTATATCTATTCATTACCGAGCAATATGGGTTGTTTGAAGAAGACATGGTCTGACCAATAGCTAAATAAAATGTTCAATGGGTGTTGAAGAAAAGAAAATAGCAATACTTAAGCATGTACCTGATACTTACTTTTAAGCACTGCTCATTCTTTTAACAATCGCACGAAGAAATACTTTGAAAAATGTATCATAACTGAATTCGTAGTTGTTACAAAACAATATGCTTTACGACAGAAATAGTTAAAATTCAGTCGAAGTTGCCACTCGTAAATTTTGTTTTTCGGAGAACAGAACGAAAAGAAACACTTTATGAGATAAAAAAAATTCACTCATGATAAGCGACAATAGCAGCCGTAAAACGAACTCATTCAGTGCACACGACAAGAAAAGAATAACAAAAAAAAACGTGACGAGTTAACTTCTACACGTCGATTTACATTGAAAGAAAATGATGAATAGCATTCAAAAAGTACCAACAAGAATTCTCAATGCAATCAATGGTGAAAATTTATCATCAGATACAGTCATATTTTATAAAGAAGATCAAGGTTGGGTGTATAAGAGATGCGACGTTGATCTCATCGATCAAACTCTTGCAAGGAGAACAAATCTCGACGATGATATACGTCCATTGGAGTCGCTTGGCCCCTTCGGTAATCGGAAAATTAAACGTGAAATCTCAGTTCCAACCATTCTTATGCTTTTCTTATTCAGGTACTCGACCAACTAACGTCTCAATAGCTATTTTACTAGGGACAGATATGTATCAAACAAAATTTGATCAGGGATTAAGTGAATTGGCTCAATATGATGATATCGAATGTGTTGGTCAACATGCTCCATTGACGCCAGTAACTCTTCAGGGTGCAGCTCGTGACGTTGCACATATACCACATGATGCAACACACTTTTGTTGGGTTTATCCACCAGCTGGACTAACTCAGTTAGGTGATAAAGCAAAGAAAAAGATAGATAAGAAAGTGGCAAAAGGTGATTTATCCTATACTTTCCTTGCTTTCGGTGGTTTTGTTTATTTTCGTGTCGATGGATATAATTACACGATGTTACAAGCTAATGCTCTTGTTAAAGCTGACAATGGTCTTACATTTCATGGACCTTTCAAATGGCGATCAGTCTACACAGCTCATTTGGATAAACAAGGACGATTTCAGGTAGTTTCATATATCTTGACATAGACTAGAAAAATCATTCTTGTTCTATTTCTAGAATGTCACTGTTTCATCGCTATTGGATTCAGGCATAAAATACTATTGTTTTATCAATCCAAATGAAAAACTTCAGAGTTCTGTTGACGGCTATCCAGATTGGACTCCTGCTAAGAATGGTGCTTTCATCTATTTATACGAATCTCCAGCAAAATCTCATCCATATGATCGATATTTTACTATTGCCGACGCACCAATTACAGACCATATTGGTACACAAGTCATGCCATTTTCATTAGTTCGCAGATCCAAATCCCTTAGGTCATCATTACCATTACTACAGAACTCAGTTACCGATAAACAATCAGCTTCATCTTTACCAAGTTCGAATGCTGATAAGGATAGATTCAAGTGTTCAATTTGTTTTGATCGTACAATTCAATGCATCTTAATTCCATGTAAGCATATGTGTGCATGTGCTGAATGTGCTCAAATCATCAAAGAAACGCAAAAATCACGTTGTCCAATATGTAGACAAACATTTACTGAAATATGGAATGTGTTTTTGTAAAAAGAGATCGGATATTGATAAAGACATCTTTAATAAAAACTAAACATGACTATTCGCTTGCTTCGTTCCTCAGAGCGGGTGAATACGGATTGGATCACGAAAATGATGTGAAAGTATATTCAACTAGAGGATGGTGTATCAATGTTGTATAGGAAAAAACCAGACTTCTACAACCGAAGTCCATATTTCCCCTATTAACATTTATCGTCCATAACACATTATTAACCATCGTTTCTGTCGACTTTCACTATTCAAAAAAAGATCGCGAAAAGGGTGTGAGTGTGAACCTCCTAAAAATTTCAGCTGAGGCCAATGTATGCTTCGGATAATATCGAGTATCTAAAACGACTTGATTCTATGGCTTGCTTTAGAATATAAAAGCGTTCTGTGAATATTCGGTATCTCCCGAAACATACATTGATCTTAGCT